AAAATTCTGTATCTATATCATTATTTGGCAATGAATATCGTGCATTTAAGTGATATTCTGGAGGGGACCTATTATGAGAGCTATGACCAAATATGGATCGATTGCAAAACAATTTTATAGTGTAATTAAGTATATAAGAGCAATATTTGTGCTAAATGTATGGATATCAATATTTTGTAATGAGTTATGTGCGTTTAAGTGATTTTTGGGAGGTGACCTTGTATGGGAGCTATGACCAATTATTAACCGATCGGAAAAAACTTCCATAATAATATTTCTGTATATGTGAGCAATACTTGTACCAAATTTTATATGGATATCTTCATTTAGTAATGAGTTATGTGCGTTTAAGTGATTTTCGGGAGGGGACCTTGTACGGAAGCTATGACCAATTATGGACCGATCGGGAAAAAAATTCATAGTAATATTTTTATATGTGAGAGCTATACTTGTACCAAACTTTATATGGATATTTTAATTTAGTAATGAGTTATGTGTGTTTAAGTGATTTTCGGGAGGGGACCTTGTATGGGAGCTATGACCAATTATGGACCGTTCGGAAAAAAATTTCATAGTAATATTTCGGTATATGTGAGCAATAATTATACCAAATTTTATATGGATATCTTGTTTTAGTAATGAGTTATGTGCGTTTAAGTGATTTTCGGGAGGGGACCTTGTATGGGAGCTATGACCAATTATGGACCGATCGGAAAAAAAATTCATAGTAATATTTCTGTGCATATGAGCAATACTTGTACCAAACTTTATATGGATATCTTAATTTAGTAATAAATTATGCGCGTTTAAGTGATTTTCGGCAAGGGTCCTTGACCAATGACTATGACCAATTATGGACCGATCGGAAAAAAATGTCATAATAATATTTCTGTATGCGAGAACAATAATTGTACCAAATTTTATATGGATATCTTGATTTAGTAATGAGTTATGTGCGTTAAAGTAATTTTCGGGAAGGGACCTTGTATGGGAGCTATGACCAATTATGGACCGATCGGAAAAAAATTTCATAGTAATATTTCTGTGCATATTGGCAATACCTATTCCAAATTTTATATGGATATCTTAATTTAGTAATGAGTTATGCGCGTTTAAGTGATTTTCGGGAAGGGTCCTTGTATGGGAGCTATGACCAATTATGGATTATACTTATTCCAAATTTTATATGGATATCTTAATTTAGTAATGAGTTATGCGCGTTTAAGTTATTTTCGGGAGGGGACCTTGTATGGGAGCTATGTCCAATTATGGACCGATCCAGAAAATTTTTTCTTTGGATGAATTCTATTGACGTAAGATTTTAATTTGTAAAATTTTGACGGAAGTTATTAACAAAAAACTCATTTTCCGGGAATATGTACTTTTGTATGGGAGGTATATGAAATTCTGGACCGATTCTGGAAATTTTCAGCAGGAATCAAGATGTTGTGTAGAAACGAATGTATGATGACTTTCATGAAATTATCTTGCATAGTTTTCGAGAAAATTACATCAGAATGTGTAAAAAATGCTTATTTTTTTCGGAGTTGTTTTAAATTTTGATTCATAATTTTTCCCGATGTGAACAGATTTTGCTCATTTTCAATACCAAACTGTACCGGATAATAGTGAATATTTTGGGTGAATTTGGTTAAATTATATTGCTTCGTTTTAACGTGAGCGTGTTTTACACAGACAGACAGACAGACGGACGGACGGACGGACGGACAGACGGACGGACATAGCTAAATCGACTCAGAGTTTCATAAGGACCCAGAATATATATACTTTGTTGGGTCTCAGATGAATATTTCTTGGTGTTACACACGGAATGACAAAGTTATATATACCCTCTACACCACTGATGGTGGTGGAGGGTATAAAAATGCACATTTTGGAACCTTTTCGATCTTTAGCTAGTACATTTTGATTTTATGCAATATTGATTTTGATTTTTATATGCAATATTGATCCTATTGAAGAAATTGCTTTCCAAAATTCATTGAAATCGAATGAGAAACAAAAAATGGCGTTTAATAATGTTCCATTTAGAAATTCGTGATTACCTTTACAAAACATTCAGAAATGCCAGATTTATTTCTAAAATTACCTCTCTGACCCACTGTACAACGCAATGACACTGATTGTAAATTGGGCAATAGTTGTGATGAATATATACTGATAATCTTAACAGAATTATAAGCTCTAAAGGCAATTGCATAAATAATTTATTTATCTATTTTAGATGAGAATTTAACATTATAAAATTAGACTTATTTAGCATTACAACGGATAATGGGAAAAATATGATTAGAGCTGTAAAATTCATGAATGATGAAATGTTAACCGATGACATAGAAAATTCAGATACCGATGATCTGCTGGACAACATTTTAATACCAAACATTCATTTAATGCGATGTGCAGCACATACGCTACAACTTTGTGCTGTAGACCTCCACAAACAAAATGATTTAAAATATAAAATAGAAGTTGCAATTTTATTATTTTGTAGACTAATATTAAAAAAACACAATCAAAAAATACCTCCTTTAGATGTTATAACCCGTTGGAACTCAACATACACAATGATTAAATCATTAAATGAAATTCGTGAATTTATAGACGAAAATAACCTTTTAGTAGTGCCAATAGATTGGGAATGGATTAATATGTATTTGAAAAAAATGGAACCAATTTGGAACGTAACAATGAAATTCCAAAAAGAACAATTTCCTTTATGCGAATTGTTTAAATTATGGATGAATTTAAAAAGAGGGTTTCAATTAAGTCAATTTGAAATGCAAAAGCGTATATCGCAAATTATGAATGGGAGAGAACATTTCCTATTAGATAATGTGACTTTATTAAGTGCTGTATATCTGGATCCACGTTTAAACTTGCTTTTAACTGCTACTCAGAAGCTATCAGCCAAATCTAATTTAAAGAATATTGCTAAAAGAATCCAAACAATAAGAGAAGTATGTTGATCTTATTTACATGTATAAGTCTGTAATTTTTATACAGCCCTTACAGATAAATGGAGATGATGTAGAAGCCAACCAAATAGAACAAATTCCAGATATTGTTGTAAATGAGAACTGCAATACAAATGAAAATGATTTTCTTACATCGCTGATGAATGAAATTGAATTGGAAAATACCACATCAAATTCCTCCGAAAGTTTTGAAAATTTACTCGAAGTTTACAATAAAATTGAAAATTTTGAAAATATCCATAAACGACTTCCCATAGACACAAATATTTTTTCATTTTATGAAAATATTAAATACAGTTGCCCACAAATTTACCAAATAGCTGCAATAGTGCTTGGTGTTCCTGCTACCCAAGTATCCGTAGAGAGAGCATTTTCTTCTCTACATTTCATTCTAAATGAGGGGCGGAGTAATTTAGGTCCAGATATTTTAGAAAAGTAACTCTTTATTAAATTAAATTCTAAGCATAATATTTAAATATTGATAATCAAATGAAATAATAATAAATTAAAAAATGTCTATTTGTATTAATATTGAATATGAATTAATATATACTTGTACTTAATTAATATTAAGGTGAACTATTGTTAATTTGCTCTTTTATACATATATGTAGAAAAAACTTACTTTTCTTTTGTAAATAAAATATTTAAACATAAAAATATACTATATACATAATAAAATCAAAAAACATCAAAGTTTCTTAATAAGAATAGCTTTATTTTATTTTTATTTTATTTGTTTGGTCTATAGATTAATATAAATCCTTACAGACTAAAGTTATATACAAATTTTTAGGAATTTAAATGCAAAACAATTTTTCTTTTTATATTAGCATTACTTTCCGAATAATCTATTAAATGATAACATTTGTTAAAATTTTCACATATGCGGCGAAAGGAGTCGTTGTTAGCATACACGGAGCTGTAGTACATTATTTTCAACGGTTGAAAGTTACGGGTTGATCGAGATGGGACATTAAAATTAATTTTACCAAGCAAAAACTCCGATTCAATATCACCACGGATTAATCCAAGTAAAAATGAAATACCCAGCATTAATCTACGACTTTTTAGTGTTGGTAACTTTATTAGATCAGCCAAGCGCCAAGAAACTGTTACTGTAGTGGTGAGAAAATACTAAAAATATTGCCTAATTACGCTTGTTATGATCAAATTTCATAACAAGTAAAATAGTAAATTTTACAGATAAAAGATATTCAAAGAAAAATATATATTTCTACACAAAGATAAAGTTTTTTATTTAAAATGTGTAAAAAAGGTATCAAAAATACTGTTTTTATGTGTTTTCATTCTTATGCATTAGTAAAATTTTTTGGAGTGTACGAGTTTTTTGCAAGTAATTCTCTTGTTTACAAATTGTGTTGTTGTTTTTACAAAATTGTTTTTGCAATTTTTGAAACAAAGCGACATCAACCTACATTGTTGAATGCTGTTAAGCAACTGAAGATAATTTTTTGTATTTTTACGCCTCTTGCTATGAGTTTTGTTTACGATCGGGTAGTGTACGTGTGAATTGCCGAAAATCTTCGTAATTTGAACAATATGAACGCGCAACGCTGCTTTAGATGCAGTGTTGCCATAACGGCATTTAATGTGCGATTCTAGCACTTTTTTTTGGCTGCTGCACTTTTTTCTGAAAAAAATGCTAAATGCTTTTTAGCATTTTTTTGCCATTTGCTGTATTTTTTTAGCATTAAAAGTGCATTTTTAGCATATATTCTTAAATTTTGCACTTTTTTATCTGATAATTTTTAAAATTCTTAATATATATTATTTTAAAAATTATTTTTTTACATTACTTCTTTAAGTGTATTTGCTTGACAGAAAACGAATACTTTTTGTTTACAACTCTGTCAAAATATACAAATACTAAACTTATTTACAACGCTGATTAAAAAATTGACACTTAACGAATAACGGAATTAAAAGAATAAAATTTTCCTTTAATTCTTTTAAAAAATTCTTAAAACGTTGAAATGTACCTTGGCGAAAACGTGTTTAAGAGTGATTTTATCAATTTAAATAAATATGTAAGTTTAAAACATACAGAGTGATAAGAAACAGGATTTAGCACAACCAGCAGACAGTTAATGACAAAATTGTAAATTTCATGCATTTGTTTCGATTTTTTAAAATACCATCGCAATATAATTTGAAATTTTTTTTAAGGTTATATGGGAGTAGAATTAATAATGGACCGACCCCCTCAAAATTTAATAGGAATTTTTGTTCTTATAAAAATTATGTATGTATGTACTTTAAATTGTTTTTCTGAAGTGACCTTATACGGGACTTATTTTGTGGGAGTTTGTGTTATCGTTATATTGTCCATTTCCAATGCCAAATAAATCATATCAATAGAGGTTATACGCGGCTCTATAGTTCCCCCCGTGTGAGTTTTTAAATGTGCTATTAACATTATAATATAAAAAATGACAAAATCCATATAGCCCCATATTTTTCGACGGTGGATACAGCTGGTCTAATCTTGACTTGTCACTTTTTGTATTTTTTAAAATGCAGCAATTTCAAATTATAAATTTAATTATCCATAGGAATCGGGAAAAGAAGAAAACTCAAAAGAAAACTAGTAACACATTAGACAGGTACGTACAAACAATCCTTTTTATTAGAATTTATTTAATTTTTCATATTTACTAGGTTTTTCGCAAGCAAAAGCCAACATGACAATTCTGAAAACGACACTAGTGTTGTTCCAAGATTACTCAAAGAAACAACACGAAGCCCAAATCTCTTAACTATCGATGACAGTGATACCAGTAGCAATGAGTCAACACGTTCTTCCCAGATGTCTAATTCTAATAACACATTGGAAGTCACAGACGATGATATAAATAATAATCAGGAAAGTCAAACAATGAAAGGGTAAGTTTTACTTAAATTAAAGAACAGTGGCGCTTTTTGAATAAATTTTAAATATATTGTAACTCATTTGTATAAGTTATTTCAATATTCCTTTTAATATGAATTTATTAAATTTAAAGTTTTTGGTTTTATTCTGTGTAAAATTTGAATAAACTTCTTGTCTAGAAATGTAATGGGACCATCCAGAGGTCCTCAAACTACACAGAGGGAAAAAGAAATATACACGCTTGGTACCAAATTGGCACCAAAGAGTTTGTAATTTTTCAATAACAACCGTTGTCAAAGTATATACATACGTACGACAACACTATGTCGCAACGTTGTCAACATTGCAACAATTCGTTGTCGAAATCTAAATTTTTTACACATACGTTGTCTAAATTTTAACAAACGTGGTAAGTTCACTATTGCAAACAATCCGTTTATAACGAATTTATATATAATTTTTAATATACCTATGATCTTATTCATAGGTATATTTTTCTTAATATCTTTTTATGATTTATTGTTTTTTTTTCAAGAAATTAAAAAATATATTTATTTTAATACTAATATAATATTCATTTAAATTACATCGGTCCATGAAAAACATACTAAAGTAAAAGCTACAGGCGATTGAAATTAAGAAATTAAAAAATTAGATTTTTTAATAAAAAAAGTACATACTTTTAAATTTTAAATTATTTTATTTTCTCACTTTTTACTGCAATTAGTAATGAAAAAACAATATTCTTTAAGTTATAACTTTAAGAAATCATAAGATTTATAGTTTCAAACCGAATTTTATTTTAAAGATATGAGTGTTTCCTTTGAAACAAAGGACAACAACTTAAAATTCTTTGACAAATCGTCCGTATATTATTGTTTTGGTCAAACAATTATAATTTTTCTCTGGCTCTACGTTGGCCATGAGACAGTAAGTAAATTTGTTATTACTTTTGTAAAAATGAAGAACATTAGAGTGTTTTCTAAAACATATCTATATATGTACATATGTATATAAAATTCTTACGTTACTGACTGACTGATTCATCTTCGCACAGCCTAAACGGTTGAAGCTAAGGAACTGAAATTTGGACAGGTGACCGCCAAATAGATCCACTAAGACGATTTTGGGAAATTCGAATGATTAGGGGGTAAAAACGGGTAAATTCGTTAACCTTATATCGCCTAAACTAGAAAAGATACAAAAGCAGTTTAAAAAATAAGCGGACAGCTGTCTGTTACTTTTTCTAATTCGGCCCCTTTAGAGAAAAAAACTATATTTTGGTACTTTTTTTGCACCACATGTATCTTTTAAACAAGTGAACATTCAAAAAATATTTTTGACTCCTTCATAACTTAACGAATAAATAAAAATATGAATTCAGTACTGTTAGGATATTCGGACGTTTAAGGGGTGAAAATTGTATCTATTTTTAGTACTTTTAAACATTGTATTTGGTTAATTAACTTATAAATATGAATACATTATAATGGGCTCCCACTACGATGTTGCAACTTTTTGGAATAGAATTATTATTTCATTAATGGGGAGGAAAAAAGTATAAAAAGGGGAAATTTGATTTTATTCAAATACAATAAGTCAATTTAGATAAAAGTTTTAGATTAAGAAACACTAAATATGCTAATGGGGTTATTTGGAACCCCGGTACCAAGTGATATTTTTTGGTACTTTTTCATTCTCCAACTGGTACTTTTTGAGTTTTCTATGATATTGAAATCGAAATATGAAATTAATATTAAAGGGACTTTTCTTTAAAATTAAACCTAGAAACATAAAATTAAGCATGTAGAGCCCGGTGTAAATGGGACATATAAAAGGGAATATTTTGGTACTTTATCGTACTTCCACTGGTACTTTTTGAGTTTTATATAAATTGAATTTGAATTTTTTATAATATTGAACACATAAACATGAAATTATGCATGTATAACCCGGATTAAGTGAGAACCTATAAAAGGGGACTTTTTGGTACTTTTTCGTTCTTCGAAAGGTACTTTTTAAATTTTCTATAATATTGAACCTAGAAACATGAAATTAATCATGTAGAGACTGTAATATATGAAAACCAATAAACGGGACTTTTTGGTATTTTTCCGTTCTTTAACTGTTACTTTTGGAGTACCCTATAATATTAAACCTAGAAACTTGAAATTAATCACATAGAACCTGGAGTAAATGAGAACATATAAAAGGGGACCTTATGGTAATTTTTCTTTTTTTAACTGGTACTTTTTGAGTTTTCTATGATAATGAACATAGAAACATAAAACTATCAGGAACTTGAGTAAATGACAATTTATAATGGAGTATTTTCTGGTACTTTTTCGTTTTTAACTGGTTCTTTTTTAATTTTTTTTCTAACATAGAACTTAGGAACATGAGGTCTTTTCGTACTTCAACTGGTACTTTTTAAGTTTTGTAAAATATTGAATATATAAATATAGAATTAAACACGCAGTATCCTGATTGAACGAAAATTTAAAAAGGAGACTTTCTGGAACCTCTTTTTACTAATACTTTTCGAATTTTCTATAATATTGAACCTAAAAACATAAAATTGAATTGTATAAAAATCTGTATGCGAGGAATTTCTGGTTGAAAATTAAACATCACCCTGATTTAATGAAAATCTATAAAAAGGCACTGTTTTGTACTTTTTCGTTCTTCAACTTTTTTTTTAAATTGTCTGTAATATTGAGACTAGATTCATGAAATCAAACTTATAGGGTCCTTATTGAAAGGGGACTTTCATAGATTTTCAATATTGAAACTAGAAACAAGTATGAAAATCTATAAAAGGGTACTTTTGATATTGAAGTTATATGTATATACATGCATTTACATATATATATATATATATATATATATATATATATATATATATATATATATATATATATATATATATATATATATATATATATATATATATATATATATATATATATATATATCTATATATATACTATATATATATATATATATTGGTACATTGGTTCAAATCATCAATTTTCTGAGCGAAATTTATTACGACAAAATAATTAAACACTTTAAAGCCTAAAATAGAGCAAAGCCATAAATAGGTATATAGAACAAATTTAAGCCAAAATTAACCCTTTGGTAGCCACTAACACATTGACCACAATTAAGAGGACTTATATAACACAACTTTTTTCATTTTGGAAGGACTTGTCGGATTCGCGGAAGTTTTTTGGAACTAATTTCCAGTGTAAGATTCTTTGCTTCCGAACTACGGTTGCTACTGTCCGGACTAATAATTCAGTTTTAATCAGAGACAGTAATTGTTATTATTTTTATTTAAAAAAATCTAATTTAAAAATTATATTTGATTTGTATTTCATTTCTCAGAAAAAACAAATTGCTGAAATGAAAATTAGTTATAAAACTCATTATGAGATATTTAGGTTTAAAACACATTAAAAATTATCGTTTCTGAACAGAGATTAACAGTAAATTGGTAAGAATTTCTTAACCACTGATATCGTCAACCGAATTTGTTGACATTTTGCAGAAATTAGATTCCAAAATTCGAAGTTATGTTAGAAACATTTTTTATGCTCTTAAAATAATCTCTAAATTATGAAAATTAAATAAAATTTTCGAAAATTCAAACTTAAGTTCGAAAAAATCTTAAAGCTGTTAAAACTAGGGTTATTTCAAATATTGTCTTTATTGGAGTAAAGGGATAATTTTTCCAACCATGAACAAGAATATATATGAACTACTGACACCTCTAAGTGCTTTCCATTTGACAGTTATTAAGAATTATTTACACACTTTCCAGAATTGCCGTTTAAAAATAATGATTAAATATAGACAAAATTTTCTTTTAAATATTTGTTTAGCATTTCGGAAAAATCAATTACGAATTTGAATTTGGTGTACTGTTAATATAATTACATCAAAAAAAATTATATTCCCAGTTCCAAAATTTGAATTTCGCACAGGAAAACTGGTAGTTTGAACTATAGTGCATTTACGATGAGGGCAGCGAAGCACACTGGGTATAGCAGCTAATCATTTCATAAAAAGCGATGAAAAATTTAATGAGTTATATTAAGTATGTAGCATAACTCAACTAATACTCAATGTATTAGTAAAAAATCTATTTTCATTAATACTATTGAACAGCTATGAAAATATAGATTTTGAATTATGGATTTCTCATAAAGGTATTGACCAAATTTTACATTATTCTTTCAACAATATAAAAAATTTCACAAATTAATATTTTATTGTGAATAAGGCGTTCTGAATATTATAATTTATTTTTAATTGTCGCACTGTACATAGGGAAATACATATCTAGAATTGTTCATAAATATTTTATAATTTATTTATAGAAAAAGTATGTATGTACAGAAGGTGAGGTCAGTATGGTTGCAGAACCCGAACTTGCAATGAAAATAACAAAAACTTCGTAACATGCAAATTCTGTTCCTGTGAACTACAGGCAAAAGTGTCTGTTTTAAAAACACATTCCAACACTAAAAAACATAAAAAATATGCTGAATCCTTCGGAACTTCCCAAAAAAAGATTAGTTTTAACGCTGAAAACAGCAAAGAAGCGAAATTAGCACGACTGTGGGAGAGTAGAATTTCTTTGTACGTTGCATCTCATACATCTATAAATTCCGTCACACATCTTACTGAATGCGAAAAAGAAGTATATAAAAATCAACCAGTTTCATCAGAGTTGAAATTGGCGAAGACAAAATGTACGGCTATTATTCGTAACATTTGGGGTCCACATTTCAAGAAATTGTTAAAATCTGATATCGAAAATTGTCCATTCAGTTTAATTATAGATGAAGCTACTGATATAAGTAATGTTAAGTATTTGGGAATTATAATAAAATATTTTAGCATTCAACGGAAACAAATAATTACAACGTTTTTGGCTCTTGAAGAGTGCGAAGACTCAACGGAAAATGGTTTGCTAAAAACGATAAAACATGTTTTAAAAGAATTTAATTTAAGTATAGATAATATGTCCGGAATTGGTACTGATAACGCCGCCGTGATGTTGGGATCGAAAAATGGATTATATAATAAATTGAAAGAACTTAAAAGAAGTAAACATTTAACGTTAATACCTTGTGCTTGCCATTCCTTACAACTAGCGGTTACTGAAGCTGTGTCTAAAAATTTTCCACCTGATATAGAGTATATTTGCAACAAAACGCATAATTGGTTTTCCAAATCGCATAAAAGAACTATAATGTACAAGAATATTTATGGTGCAATAAATGATGGAGCAATACCTTTAAAAATTACGAAAGCATGTCAAACGCGATGGATGTCGATTGAAGTTGCAATTAAAAGAATAAGTGAGCAATGGATCGAATTAAAAACACATTTCGGAATTGTTTCGGTATCAGAAAAATGTTTTTCTGCAAAAGTTCTGTATGGATTGTACAAGAATGAATCACTTTTCTTAATATCGATATTTTTAAAAAATATTTTAAAGGAAACTCAATCACTAAATAAGGCTTTACAGGCAAAAAATTCAGACCCAACAAAAATCTTTAATGATATCATATTCACAATTAAAACCTTAGCAGGTATGATATACATCAATGATAAAATTAATGAAATTATTGAACCTAGTGAGGAAACGGACTTCGAAAAGTATTTGCTTCCAAAACCATACTTAGGGTATGAATTTGAGACTTTGTTGGAAGAGAAAGTAAAAGAAAATTTAATAACAGAAGAAGAAGAACAGAATGTGAGATTTTCATGTATCAGCTGCACTAAAGATTTGGTTTCAGAATTAAGAAAACGCCTTCCCCAAAACATCAGAGCTCTCCAACAAATATCTATATTTTCCATAAACAACACATTAAATCCAATTAAAGAGCCCATATATGACATTTTAAAAATCATGAAAAAGAAATCTTCAGAAATCGATACTATACAAAAGCAATGGAGACTTATAGCAGACCACAAATGGAACTCTAAAACCAGTACAGTTGATTTTTGGATAGAAGTTCATAATTTTAGAAATTCAATCGGTGAAAATACGGGAATGGCCATAGATAAAACATGCTGCAAATCATATAACATTCCAAATTCTTGATAAAATTGGCAAATCCGAAAAATATCAGACATATGAAAATGAAGCAGAAGATCATATAGTTGATGAAATTATGAATGACCTGCAGTTGATGTAGAACAATTAATATAAGTTTAAAATAAAGGTAAGTAATTAAGTAAGTACTTTAATTTATCGTATTAATGAATTTTATTTTTCAAATATAGGATCATCATTTTTCCATTAAAGAATTCTACTTGTTCAATTCAAAATGAATTAAAAGCTAATATGTTAATACATATTTTATTCGGTATATATGTAAACATAAAAAATCGATAGTATGTACGTGAAACTAGACACTATTCAGAGTAAAACTGGGTTTGTAGTTTTTCGATATCGGATCTGTTTTTCTTTTAAAGTTTCAATTTAAGATGTTCATTTCATATTCAGAAAAACTCAATTGTTAAAGCGAATTTTCGGTTCAAATCCAGAAAAGCTCAATTGAAATTCGGATTTTTTCATTTAAAATTTTGAAAAGTGCAATTGATATTGAGATTTTTCATTTGATATTCGGAAAAATTCAATTGAATTTGTCAAGTTCCATTTCAAATTCAGAAAATACCAATTTAAATTGAGATTTGTCACTTCAAATTCAGAAAATCATAAATGATAATGAGAATTTTCATTTATAATTCAGAAAAACCCAATTGAAATTGAGATTTTTCATTTTGAATTCGGAAAAGAACAAATGAAATGAGATTTTTCATTTGGAATTCGGAAATTAACAATTGAAAATGAGAAAATAACAAATGGTATTGATAATAATACAATTTATGTTTAATTTTAAATGAATGTATGAAATAATAATGTAATTGTTCATTTCCTAATTGAAAATTTAAAATCTCATTTTCAATTGATTATTTCCGAATTTCAAATTAAAAAATCTTATTTTCAATTGATTTTTTCTGAATTCAAAATAAAAAACCACATTTTCAATTGTCCTCTTCTGAATTTTACATGAAAAATCTCAATTTTAATTGAGCTTTTCTAAATTATAAATCAAAATTCTCATTATCATTTGTGATTTTTGCAATTTAAAATGATAAATCTAAATTTAAATTGGTCTTTTCTGAATTTGAAATCGAATTTCTCAAATTCAATTGAGTTTTTATGAATATCAAATGAAAAATCTCATTAAAAATCCCAATTTCAATTGAGCTTTTCTGAATTTGAACTGAAAATTCGTATTAACAATTGAGTTTTTCTGAATATGGAATGCAAAATCTCAATTTCAATTGGTATTTTCTGAATTGAATTGAAAAGTTCTCATTTTCAATTAAAAAAGGTGAAGTTTGTGTAATTTTGTGTAATACTTGCAAAAGTGTTATATATAAAAATTAAAAATTTCATCTCAAAAAATTTTAACTTGACAAATTTAAAGCTAGTAAATTATGAGATAATTAGGAATAAGTTCAAATTTAATATTTCCAAAAATTTAAATAAATCAAAAAATATTTATGTATATAGGAAACAATACAAACTACAAAATCGTCTTTATTGTTTTCAATTCAAATAGGAGAAAGAAATTAAAGGACATAGATATTCCTAAAATAATATTTAAACTATAATATATTTATATAAAATTAAAATTTGAAAAAAAAATTATAAAAATTTTTAACAAGAAGAGTTGAAAATAAATTGCATAAAAATGGCCCATAAAACAAGATGTACCTAAAACTATTTGTCTATTAATATAAAAACTGTAAATATTTATTTTAACGATATTTATAAACAAAAGGTGTATCTGAGTTTAAAATGTCTGCTTGAAATGTACAAACTTAAAGTATTAAAACAATTTTTCCAAAAAATTAAAAACCATAAAATTATTTATGAGGAGCTTAAAAATAAAATGTTTTGATTTGTATGCATATTTAACAATATATCGTCACCTAAAAATTTTACAGGAGAGACAAAAAACTTAATAAAATGAAAACTATAAGTGTTATATAAATGACATTTTCATACATGTATTATATCAATAAACACCTTTGCATATAAGTGTGCCGCCAAGACATTGTCTATTATATTGCTTTTTAGGACATTCTGACTTGTTTAAATTTTTTTGTTTTGAATTTCATGTTAATAATGTCGGTGTTTTTGACAGAATTCTAAAAATTTGCGACAACATGTATTTTAATGCAATGAGTAATTTTCAATCAAAAAGTCGATTTTAAATGTTTTGGTTGTTACGCCCTTTTGCATTTCAGGTGACAATATGTACATATAAACTAAACATATTAAAAATATTTTGGTATATAAAAATTGTTTTTGTCAATAATATTATTTCCAAACTTAAAAATTATACAGAGTTTAAAAAAATTACTTAAATGGTAAAACAAGATTCGAAATAAAAAAAATATTTTTGAAGAAGTACGGCTGTATTTATAAAAACTTATTTTAGGTTTATTAAACAATTTTAGGCAAAATTCAGGAAAATCGTATTTATAAACGTGAAATAGCTTAAAACACCTTCAATAAACCATTGACAATTAGAAGAATTTTATTGTAGGCTCGACCCTTCTTTAAGCCAACAATAAGTTGATTTTTAACAATTTTTTTCTCAGATAAAGATTTTTCCGGTAATTTTAGGTTGATTGCGAAAACTAATTATGGTTTCTTTTAAAATAAAATCTAAAAATTCTAATTTTAACGTTTACAAATTTGTAAATAAAATCCCAGAAAATTTTTAAACGATTATATTTTGAGGAAAAAACTCAAATCTAGGCATTATTGGATTAATGCATGAATATTTGACAATATTCCAATTGTCCAGCACTATTTTTTGGCAATTTGGAAGTGCCCGTCTGTCAACCAAATGATGGGCAAAATCATTTGATTTGGCTTTTTCAAAGTTTGTTGGTTAAATATAATGCCATAAAGTAATTAACCATGTAAATTATATTGATTAGTGTTATACTAATGCAAAATATATTCGCCGGCATTAAAATTAGTCAAATATCAAAGAAATTTATCAATATTTGCAAAAATTTATCAAAAATTACAAGGAAAATAAGTAAAAATAAGAAAATGTGTCATAGTGATGTATATTTTGTCGCAAAATATCCGTTATTCGGACACTTTTATTAATAATTAGAAATTATATGTTATATTTATACATCTGAACTAAATAGACATTTATTAAAGCCATATATATATTTATTTTTCTTAAAAGTTTGTTTTTATTGTCAAAAATCTATTATAAACAAAAATATGAAATTAAGAAAACCGAATCAACGAATATTTTATCCTAATTGTACGCAACACTAACACATAAAATGACAGCCATATTGTACAGTGCTGCCAACTTAAACATAAATCAGCACAATAGTTAATATACGTTTATTATTTGTTTATGAATATCACAATTTTATAATTGGTTTTTAAGGCTAAAGTGTGCTTTAACTATTGAGTGCATTAAAAGCAAAAAAAGATTTTTTTATAAATACAAGCGGTAATATTTAACGATATACAATTTAATTCTTTTATTTAAAAATTAAATTTTCAAAAGTTTAAAGCTAAACATTTATAAGATATTTTAAAATAAAATAATTTTTAAATAAATCCTTAAATTCAATTTAACAAAATATAAGTAAAGTTTTTACTGAAAGTAGTCGCACGTTGTGTAGGAACTAAAATAACAAAAAGGTTGCGTAAAATATATTTTTTTGTTGTAAATATTCTAAACTATTATCCTGAAATATGTATATACAAAAATTGCAAAACAAACCGAAAAAATCCTTTG